TTTGGAAGATCAATAAGGGCACCTCTGAGCCAGGGAAAAGATGCTTCTACAAGAGCAGTGCTGGTAAGAAGAAAGAAGAAGAGCTCCACACAAACCCTAAGGAGGCAGAGCTGAGCAGACCTAAGACTGCATAGATCGGGCAGCAAAGGGAGATGTGGGTGATACATAAACTCTTACTAAGGGCAGAAAGACAGAATTCAAGCAGAAAGGATGTTTTGTTTCGAAGGGGGAGGGTAAAAAGACGGTAACTTGACATGTGGAGTCTGAGGTGTACCCAAATGAAATGTCAGCCTAAAACCCACGGGAGTCGTCTGGGGTAGAGTAGTCAGAGTCCACAACACTGTAAAATCACAACAAAGTAAGACCCAGGTAAACAGGGGTATGTGAGAAAAGCAGTGAGTAGAGAAGAAAAGACCCTTGGAAAACCCTAAGGTTTAACAGAATGACAGAAGGGAAGGCTTTTGATGGAAGCTGTCAAATACAGCAGAGAAAGGCCCACTAGTGAAGGAATGAAAAGTATACCCTTTGTTGAACAGTTAGGGTATCACAGCTATGCATACTGGCTGGACTTCTTGATTGCAGGCAACTGAATCCACTCAAGTTACTTTAAGCACACAAGTATTTATTAGAGGGTATTAGGTAGCATATATAATCTCTAGGTTTGGATGTCTTCCAGCCAGTAACAGCAGAAGTCGCCAAAATAAACATCCACCCTCACCATTGGACTGTTTCTGGGAAAACCCCACTGCCACCACTTTACTCTGCTCATCATCTGTGACCAAGTATGATAATGTTCACCAGAGCTGCCTCAAATGAAGAGACGCTTCACTCACTGTGCCTGCAAGAGCCACTATGGCCAAGAGCAGCCTCATTCTAGGACAATCTGCCTTCACCTTACCTATCTAAATGCTCACCTTGAGACATCCAAGAGTCAACCGCCCATTACTGAGGTCATCCACAAATGAGACTTCCGTGCAGCAACAAGAATGAATGAAATGAAGATGGAGTCAAAAAAAAAAGCACGAATAATCTTTATTCCTTAGAAACACATTTGTAAAAACCTTATCAATAAGATGAAAAGATTCAGAACACATTTATTTGTATGCAGCGCACACGCACAAGATCAAAATATCTGCCAAAGAGGAGCACACCTGTAAACGACCATCTTAGGAAAGCATTTATAGGTAGCCAACTCCACCGTACAAGGTAGGTAGTCAACTCCCTCCTTCTGAATAGTAAGCAAAAAGATCAGATTTAGCAATAAAATACCTCCAAGGATGCCAGCACATTTCTTAAAGGGCTTACAATGGACCAAATTACAGTTACATATAGAAAAGGGTAACAAGAATGAACTGATTTCACAAAAAACACTAATGAAAATGTATGTGAGCCCAATCTACTAAAAGAAAAAAATGTTTGACTTATGACTTGAAATGGGAGAAATAAATATTTTGTGCAACTTTTACCCTAAAAGACAATATACTTACTGGTTTCTGATTCTACAAAACAGCTAGGACAATGTCCATCCTACCCTAATCTATAGAATGTTTTGGCACAACTTCAATAAAACCCTTTATATACTTTAATTTGAGCCATGAATGCATCTCAAGTATATGTTGCTTTTAGAAAGAGCAACATCTAGGGTAAGAAAAAAAAAAATCGGATAGCATATATTCACAATTATGTCTTCTGAAATCATACAAGTTAGCAGCACCGATCATTAAGACATTAAAAAGTATTCTTATACTTGAGCAGCAGCAATTCTATCAAAACGGATGCTATGCAATTTATGATTAGTATAATCACTGAAATTCAAAGTGGCTAGCCTGCTTTAAGATATTAAAATTCGAAGTCTCTGTATTTATATAACACCTATAAGCTTTATATAATCTCATTAGTTACACACTTTATTTAGTTCTGAAAGGGGTCACCCTCTGTTGGAAGTGGATATTGAAATTTTCCTTATGAACATCTAGGATAAGAAAAAAAAAAAATCGGATAGCATGTATTCACAATTATGTCTTCTGAAATCATACAAGCAACATCTAGGGTAAGAAAAAAAAAAATCGGATAGCATATATTCACAATTATGTCTTCTGAAATCATACAAGTTAGCAGCACCGATCATTAAGACATTAAAAAGTATTCTTATACTTGAGCAGCAGCAATTCTATCAAAACGGATGCTATGCAATTTATGATTAGTATAATCACTGAAATTCAAAGTGGCTAGCCTGCTTTAAGATATTAAAATTCGAAGTCTCTGTATTTATATAACACCTATAAGCTTTATATAATCTCATTAGTTACACACTTTATTTAGTTCTGAAAGGGGTCACCCTCTGTTGGAAGTGGATATTAAAATTTTCCTTAAGAGAAATTTAACATGTCCTGAGCCTAAAAAAGAAAAAAATCAATTTTTAATAAATCACAGAATTTTAGAGACAGAGGTGCCTTAAAGATCACATATCCAACCCCTTTTTTTGATGTGGAAAAATGATTCCCTGAAGATCGCTCAATGGTAGAGGCTGGCCCCTACTAATCTCTCGATCCCTATGACAGTACTGTCTACAGTTATCTCCCCGACCAAGCTTTTCTGGTTTTATTTGGTCCCATTAATTAAATAACAAAGAATATTAGGTACACAGAGATATGATAAACATAGACTTTTACTCCAATTCTAAATTGAGAATATCAAAATGATTCCTGAGGCTTTAGCTACCTTCATTTTATGGAAAATGCAGTCAGTAGTAAATTATGACTAGCTATCGTGGTTATCTCCAAATATTTACATGGACACTGAGAACACCTTTCAGAACTCTTCCTTAGAGACACTTGTACAAACACATCCATGTGATGCCAAGACATTTTCATGGAATGCAATGAAACTAGGATGGTGAATGGGAGTAAGGTGCTTCAGTCTCTCAAAGTGCAGTCATGAGTTTATCTCGATAGAGCATGCTCTGCATCCCTCCTAAGTTCTTCTGGTTCTGGTCGTGGACATAGTCAAAGTGGCTGTCATCTCCACTGGCTGAGGCTTTCCAATGCGACCTGTCATCCTGAAAAGATGGCCTGTTTTGTTTGTAGAGTGAATGGTTAGTGGGAGGATGGAAGAACATTCAGAAATGTGAGTGAAACAACACAAGTACAAAGGAAATGGGCAGTAGAAACTATGAACCATGTGAACGAGAACGGCTTACAAATGGAAATGAATGGCTTCTCTGCTGAAATATTTTAAAAATTCAGATGTAGATCATCTATCAACTTTCAAGGAGAGAAAAGCTCGATCTTTGGCCGAATCAGCATTTCTCAAAGGGTATCGGATGGGTAGGTCAGTCTAGGGAGAGCCAGGTGAAGGTGAAGTGGGTTCACGCACTACTGGGATCTACGCTGTGAATGCCTCATGCAGCATTTGCCAAAAGTTCTGGACCAGTGAATTCTCTTTTCATGGGCTATCTCTGCAAAGGTTGATACTACACAAAATGCTGGGTCCCAGCCCAGAGATTCTAAACCAGAAGTTCTAGGTGGGGTAAAGCAGCAGTTGATGTGGCCACTGCATTGTGAAAAGCTGGGCTGGGTCATGGCTCAGAAAAACACAAATATGATAACATAGGCAATAAGTGTAAAAATCTATGAAAGTGAAATTAATGAAAATAACAGGACCAGCCAATGGCATGGAGGTTAAGGGGCTGGATCCCACATGACTGACTGCATGGTTTGAGTCCCAGACCTGGAGGCTTGAAAAACATGCTGGGCACATGCATGTGTGCCCAAAATCCTAAGAGGAGAATGAAGGAGAAGGGATATGCAGTGTGACCAGCCCAAGAGGTGATTTATCACTTTCTCTCTTTCTCTCTCTCTAGCCAAAAACTTTTTTAAAAATCTATGGCAAAAAACTTAAAAAGAAAAAAAAAAAAGGTCTATAAATTTCTTCCATTTCTCAATATGGAAAATAAACTGTCTTTGAAATATAGAAAGATTTAAATTAGTAATTTACTAACTTGTTTTAAAAAGTTAGATGAATATCAAATATTTGTAAAAAATTGTGCACTGGTATGGATCCCCAACAAATTCTTAATTGCCCTGCTCTGAGCAGAATTCTTTCCATCACTCCATTCTCCATACTTTCTCAAAGATCCAGGCTGGCGACCTTACCTTTATGCAAACTGAATTCACCAACTAAGTCTCCAAAATAGCTTCCACACAAACCAATTAAGACTGATCTAAAATACAAATCTTAAAGGAACATTTGCACAAGGCTAGTACTAGAAAAACACGCAAGGCTAACCATAAACACAGAATAGCAGATGTCGATTTACTTAGGAAGGGCTGTGGTAGATTAGCACAGGGGTCATTGGTAACCAGTGGCCCTCAGGTCAAACCCCACCATTTTTGTAAATAAGTTTTATTGAAACACAGCCACGCCTTCACACTTATCTAATGTCTGTCTATGGCTGTTTTCCATCTTCAATGGCAGAGCTGAGTAGCTGTGACCACCACCACAAAGTCGAAAATACTATCTAGCCCTTTACGGAGAAAGCCTACTGACCTCTCAGTTCAGGGAAAAAAGATTCAACTAGGGGAAAAAAGATTCATCCCTGTAAAAAGCAAGCCTTACTCTCCATTTGTTTAAAAAAAAAAAAAATCCTTAAAGAAAACCCTTAACAGCAACAATCCTTAAGCTTTAATCACAAGTAAAATGAATTTTCAGGAAAAGATGTTACTTACAAGTGTTAAGAAACATCTCCAATGCAAAACCAAGCCCAAACTATCTGAGGGTAGAATGACTGACTTAAAAGCAAAACAAAACAATTCACTTCTATTTCACAAGACATTTCTATGTCTCCAGTCAGTCCAGATGCATCACTGGTTTCCTTTGCTTTGCAAATTAGTCACCTCTGGCACAACAATGCAGATGTAGACTTCCAACTCCTGATGAGGCAGAATTTGAACTTCTCCATCAATTTTCAAAAGAACAGCTCTGTGGGCCCAAGCACTCACCTGACATTTGGGGAGTGAGGATGCCACCGTGGCTGGCTGGGGTGGATATTGGGATGATACTGGGCCTAGAAACAAAACACCAGACTTGATTATTTGATGACCTTTGGATTCCACCGTCTTCATTCACCTTATCTTTCGCTGGCATCCACCTGAGGGCTGAGGGACTGAGAAGAAAAGGCTAACCCCTGGCTGTGTGGGGTTGGGGCGCTAGGGCGCTGGTTCCCAGGAGATCGTGTTTCTCCTTTGACAAAGACTGAGGGGCTGGAACCCAGCATCTGTTCTCAAAGCGCCCCCTCCAGAGGTAGCCCCCCTGTAAAGGGGCTAGAAAGAAAGGGAACAGCATCTGCCTTGCCAGGGGTCATCCGGGTGCCCAGGACAGGCAAAGTTCATCTTTCCCAAGACAGCAGGAGGAAGGTGCCAGAGAGACAGGGAGAGTGGGAGGCAATGTCTCCCTTTAGAAACAACTATTTTTATTACCAACAGTGATGACACCTATATGTAATAGTCACGTCTGCACACAGACAAGGACTGCAATGGGACGCTAAGTAAGGCCGCAGGGCTGTGGGTGAACTTTCTTTTCCTTTTTTCCCCTACTTTAAACAATAAAAGTAATTTTCTAAAATGCAATCCAAAATAAAATACCCAAACAACTCTCCAGAACACTGATCATCCTGATAAAGCCAAAGGAAAGGAGGAAATTAGTATGTCAGTTGAGTAAGATGAGAAAACGGATTCAGACTACTAACTCACAAAGGACTAGGGTACAGAGATCAGCCTCTCTGGAGCAAGCTGCCTACTTGCTTCTGGCCTGCAGAGGGCGCACTCTCAGACACTGCCAGATGCCAGGGGCTTCTCAAGGCTCAACTTTCCATGGGGCAAATGAGGCTCTTTTGACACATTAATGTCACTACAGTTTTGCCACCATTACTCTTTTAATTATTTCTTCCCTATCCTCTTCTCCCCTGCTGCTTTGATGAATTAGGATCCTGCTCTCAGTTATAGAAAATTCCTGGGCCAGCATGGTGGTTAAGGTGCCAGATGCTCACACGGTAAAACCCAGTTCAAGTCCTGGACCTGGTAGCTTGCTTTCTTACTTTCCCTTTCTCTCTCTCTCTGGTCAAAATAAAAATATATAATAATACTAAATGAGATTAAATAAAACTTTTTTTTGGAGACGTTTTTGCCATAGGGTTTGTATGCTCACCAGAAAGAGAGACAGAAAGTGAGAAATCACGCTCCAGGAGGGATGGCCATGCCACAATCCCTTCTCCTCCATTCTCCTCTCAGGATCTTGGGCACACATGCACACGTGCTCGGCCTGAGTTCAAGCCACCAGGTCCCAGGACTGGAACCGTGGTTGACTACATGGGAGTCTAGTGACATAGCCATTATGCCAACTGCGGGTTGCAAAATAATTATTTTTTAAACAAGGAAAATTCTCGGGCGAGGTGGTGCCTGCCCTATGTTATAGAAAATTCTCAGCAATTCTGTTCATCCGGTTTTCATAGACCTGCAATGCCCTCTGCCTGTTCCATCCCCAGTGGCTTTTCTCTTCTCCTTCAAAGATGACCATCAGCCAGCTGAGTCTGCAAGACTACATGCTGCAGAAAAGGATCCTGTAGAAAACATCTCAGCTTAGGACCAGCAGTTAGCGTAATGGCTATGTCGCTGGACTCCCATGTAGTCAAATGCGGTTCACATCCCGGACCCGGCGGCTTAAACTCATGGTGGGCGCATGTGCGTGCATGTCCAAGATCCCGAGAGGAGAATGGAGGAGAAGGGATTGTGGCGTGACCATCCCCCCGGGGGGTGATTTCTCGCTTTCGGTCTCTCTGTCTCTCTGGCGGCCAGGCCCCCTATAAAAAAATCTTCTAAAAAAAAAACAAAAAAAAAATCTCAGCTACAGAATCCGGGAGCAGACCAGGGTTTTAGAATCTCCCTGGTATATTCTCTTCATATTTCTCTTTTCGGGGATACAGAAACCCAGCATTTACATGATCTGCCCAAAAGCTGGACAGTTCCAGATGTTTTAGTATACAGGCTAAAATGAGGTTTCACTGATGGGGTTTTCAACAGAAGAGACAGACTAGTAGGACCAGCAGATGGCATAGCGGTTACATTGCTGGACTCCCACAGTGCCAACTGTGGTTCAAGTCCTGGATATGGTGGCTTAAAAATCACTTCAGGCATGTGACTGTGTGCATACCCAAGATTCTAGAAAGAGAATGGAGGAGAAGGGATTGTGGTGTGGCCATGCAACCTGGAGGGTGATTTCTCACTTTCCCTCTCACTGTGTCTGTCCTTACCCCTCAACTCGCAAGTGTACATTCCCAAAGCAAAAATTTATTAAAAAAAAAAAAAGGAGAGAGAGAGAAACTGACTGGAAAAAGAAGATTCCAAAACCTTTCTTGATCTTTTATGATAGTTTATAGACATACTCAACTCTCAAGGAGTATTCTAGTATTAACTCAGGTGATTCTCAACTTAAGGCAGTACGTCCCCATGGGGACACTTGCTGGTCACGATGACAGAGAAAAAAGAAGCTAACATCCTGTAATTTCCCGGAACAATCCCAACAATGAACTGTCCCTCTCTCCCTCCCAAATGCCAATGGTGCCCTCACGGAGAACACAGCAATCCACCCTTGGCAGCTGGCTGACCTTGCTGTGCTCAGAGTAAGGGCTGCAAAAGCACCCTCCCCAAACGTTTCTCAGCATTCAGAAGATCCTGCCACGTATCAGGAACCTCCAGAAAAATGCAGCACCTCAAAGACTGGCAAGGGCAAAGGACCAGGAATTGCCAATGAGGCAGAGAAAACGCTGTCCCAGGAAGTTTCTGTAACTGGACTTCAACAATCACCTTGATGTTCACTCCAGCAGAGCCAAGAGTGTTTGCAGAGAGAAGGCACCGCAAGGCTGGTGAGCAGAGGGAGGGTGGCACTTGGCGGAGGCTATTCTTTTTTCTTTTCAAAGATTTCTTTGCCATAGGGCATATGTATTTACCAGAGAGACAGAGAGAGAGGGAAATTGAGAAGTCACCCCCCACCCTGGCGGGGGTGGCCATGCCACAATCCTTTTCCTCTATTCTCCTTTCAGGATTTTAGGTACACATGCACATACACTTCTCATTGCTTTTTAGTCCACCATGCCACCTACTGGCCCCCTCCCATTTATTTTTATTTTTCTCAACATCAACATCATTTCCCTTCCTTCTAACATTCCAATTATGCTTGGAAAATCCCTCCACAAAACCCAGCGAGTATATATAAGATTCAAGAACCTAAGAAAGGCAACGAGTGAGAACCAAGACTTTCTCTCTACCAAGTTCAAAGGGCTTTTTATTACTAGGTTGTCAGAAAAGTCAGGTCGTGTTTTTCTACATTTTTCTATGCAAAAAAATGTATCATGACTTTTCTGACAACCTGGGATTGTTCCTTAAAACTTGGAAGCCATTTCCAGGTTCTGCACGTGGGGAAGATGACTTCATGTATGGAAGTCAATTGTCACAAGATTCTTCTGAAACATTATTTGGAAGCCTTGTGAAGATAATGAACATGGGGGAACCAGCAGTTAGCGTAATGGCTATGTCGCTGGACTCCCACGTAGTTGACCGCGGTTCGTGTCCCGGACCCGGTGGCTTAAAACTCACGCCGGGCACATGTGCGTGCGTGCCCAAGATCCCGAGAGGAGAATGGAGGAGAAGGGATTGCAGCGTGACCATCTCCCCTGGGGGGTGATTTCTCGCTTTCTGTCTCTATGTCTCTCTCTGTCTGTCTGGCAAACGATTGCGCCCTATAGCGAAAATCTCTCCAAAATAAAAAAAAAGATAATGAACATGGGAATGTGGAATCTAGTGCATTAATTTCTCGCTTTCTGTCTCTCTGTCTCTCTCTG